CGCCCCCTCATTTGGAGATTCCGGTTCATGTTTCTTATAAACGCACCCTCATCTGGCGATTTCGGTTCATCATCATCATCATATATATATATATATATGTATATCTATATATATATATATATATACATGTGTGTATATGTATATATACGTGTGTGTATGTGTGTATGTGTATATATATATAAACAGATCTTCAACATGCCCCTCATTTGGCGATATCGGCTCATCATAGATCTTAAACACAACCCCTCATTTGGTGTTTCCGGTTCATCATATAACTTAAGCACGCCCCCGCATGCGTTTGGCGATCTCGGTTCATCATGGGTCTTAAACAGTAAACACGCCCCCTCGTTTGGCGATTCCGGTCTGTCATATATATCTTAAAGAAAACCCTCTTGTGGCGATCTATGTCTTCAACGGGCCCCCGCATTTGGCGATTCCTCTGCATCATCTGTCTTAAACATGCCCCCTCGATTGGTGATCTAGGTTCATCACATGTCTGAAACACACCCCTCATTTGGCGAGTTTGTTCATCATATACAGGTCAGAAACACCCTTCCTCAATTTGCGATCTCGACGCATCATATATCTCCAAAAGCATCCTCATTTGGCGATTTCTGTGCATCATAGATCTGAATGACTCCCCCTCCTTTGGCGATTCCGGTTCGTCATATATCTTAAGCGCACCCTCTCATTTGGCGATTTCGGTTTATCATATACCTGAAATACGCCCCCTGATTTGGCGATCTCGGCTCATCATATATCTTAAAGACAACCCCTCATTTGGCGTTTCCGGTTCATCAATTATCTTAAACACGCCCCTCATTTGGCGACGCCCCCTCATTTGGCGATTCCAACAGACAGAGAGAAATAGATAGATAGATACATAGATAGATAGATAGATCGATAGATGGATAGACAGACGAAATGAGGATCGGACAGAGAAGAGACCAAAGCAGGACCAACCGGCAGGAAGAACTGAGCGGACCAGAGGGACCAGCAGACCAGGGAACCAGAAGACAGGGGGGGGGGGGGCAGGAGACAAGAAGATCAGGAGACCAGAAGACCAAAGGACCAGTGGACCGAGGACCACGGGCCCAAGGGGAAAAACAGGGGAGCAAAAACAAAGAAGGAAGTGAAGTAAAGTCGATCCCGGACATAGATACAGCGAACACATGCTCGGGCTGCGACATGGCATCGTCCCGCCCCTTAGCCCGGAAAGGTCCACCGCATGGCAAACAGTTCGGGCCCAGAGTATCGAAGCACATGCTAGCATGCAAATCGAGCTGTAATGAAGTCAATGTGGCACTGTTTTGCGCGCTTGTACGGCTTTTAAGCTCTGCTTCAGATGTCGACTCTCTACCGGGGTGGATTTTTGCAAGGACTCACTACTAGCTGGCTTTGCTGGCCTACAACACTGCTAACGAGTCAAGACATGCAAACACTTTCTGTTACTTCTAGCAGGTAGCACAGCCGATAGTAGGGTCCTCCTTCTAGTACTGCCAATGGCCCCCATCAAACACCTGTCTCTTGGATCTTCAGCACTTGCTGCGGCCCGGACCTTGGGCCTGTACTGCACTAGCACGCCTTAGCTGTCGTACTCAGGCACGAAAAAAGACAAGGCCGTGCTGTACGCCGAGCCTCCATAGGTTGGGAACTACTGAGATGCTGGCTGCAGAGCGGTATTGCCAAAAAAACTGCAAGGCCAGCGATGACCTGCGAGGACACCAGGGCGCCCACCACCACAATGCTGCTAGTACGATTACTGCTGCTGCTAAGCTACCTACTTGTACAAGCAGGTAATCATACCAACCGCTCAAGATGGACACGCTCATCCAAAAGCATATGCAACGTGCGTCTTTGTGCAGGGGCCGAGCAAACACCGGCGCAATCAGTCTACTTAGCTGACCTAGCTACTGCTCGGCTCGGATAACATCTGATACAAGCATCTAGCAAGATATAATATTAGACCGATTTTGCCCAACCAATCAGTAGTGTTGCGTGCACTGGAGCTCTCAGGATGCATTCAATGCACACGCATCGCCGCTGCGAAGGGTGGCTAAGGTCCCCACGAAGATCCTATGTCCTTAGGGCGTCGTCTGCACTGAACTGCAGAGGAGAGAAACAACATCAGCCGCATGCACAAAGCATTGCTTCAAGTGTTCGTGGCTGGGCTTGCGGCGCAGACAGTCTTCTATGAACCTGACCCAAAGCCGATTTGCTTCGGAAATACCGACCTCTTTATGGCTATGTGCTAAACATCCGCCTATGCTATAACAGGCCATATGCCTACACACACACATATATATATATATACACACACACACATATATATATATATACACACACAAACACACATACACAGTATGTGACCCCCAAAAAAAAACACAGAAGGAAAACGCAACGAAACGCCTGTGTCCTGATGTTCCTGTAACCCGCAGTATTACATCGAGTCGCTTTGGAGGGTGTGTGGTTTTTGTGGCTGGGGCCACCCCCCGCCCCGTGCCAAACTTGCACCAAGGGGCATTGCTAACGTGTCTTCCGACCTTCGCCCGGTACAAACCGGTAATAGTTGTACCGGATGGATCCAAAATCCAAAACTGCGGAGGAGTCTCTTCGGAGATCTTGGCTACACGAGCCTTGTCCCGGTGCCACTTGTACCGGTTTGACCAGATTGTACCGGGCCAGGCTCCGGTATCCAAGATCCCCCGTAGCAATCTTGGATTTTTGAACCCATCCGGCACAACCTGTACCGTTTTGTCGGGGCCAACTCCAATACCCAAGATCAATATCCAAGATTACTGTGGAACTCTTCGGAGGATTGTGGTGGCCCGGTACCGCTCGTAGTGGGCCCAAGATTCATCCGACAGCTTTTCGGTGATCTTGGTTCTTGGTTCCCAGGCCCATGTTAATTAACACGGCCTGTGTAAGAGTCAATTTACTCGCGCTTCGGTAACTTCTGCTAATATCTCCGGTTGAAACCATTTCTATCTCGATGGCGCAGGTCGACCTAATACATTAGCCCTTCTTGTCGAGCCTTGGGCACCGTCGCGCCCATGTTGGGCCAGGTACTAACACAAGATGTTTTAAGGAACAGTCTCAAAAAGTCAATATGTCCCGCCTCCCACAGCCATGGGGACGGTAGCACCCACGTTAGGCCTATACCCGGACACACGGCCCTTCTCAGGCCAGTATCATGTAGTCCCTCGTTGAATTCGTGTTGCTTAGTTCCTGGCCCGTGTTAATGATCATAGGTATTTGTAGAGGAATGTGTGTGATAGAATCTTTATGATTGCGTGGTAGTATCTCTATGACTGCATATTCATCAAACATGTTCTTGCAGAATCCCATCAAAGCCGTTACATAAACCCTACTTCAGATCCTGAACTCTGTTCTACCCTGTCCACGAAGTTTCTAGCCAAGGATCTGTAAGGGGAATTCCGGTAATTAAGGGTCTGTATTGCAAAATAGAAAGGTCTCCCTCTCCAGTTTGGGGAGCTGGGCTTTAAGGTGGAGGACCTGAGGAGAGAACGCCTTGTGAGGATAGCTATGCTTCTCGATATAGCTTGTAAACACTCAGCTCAAGAGCGTACTATCGCCCGGCTGCTGGTTGAGGGGCACAGGGTTTGGATGCGCAAGTGGAAACTACTATAGGGGTCGGACAACTCAATGGCGATAGTGTCCAAATGTACCCATGACCCCTAATGCAAAATATACCCTTATTTTCTGACCATACAAATAATCAGCATAAGTTTGCCCGAGGATCGGTATCCAAACCAATGTAAATATGTGAAGAACTGTTCTGGGGTCCTTCGTGATCTATGAACATATACCGTATACATATATATATATATATACAGAGAGAGAGAGAGAGAGAGAGCGAGAGAGAGAGGGAGAGAGGGAGGAGCGTGGCCTGGAGTAGCGAGTCGCATGGCCTTGATAAAATTTCAATCAGCTCAGTCGTACTCTGCTCCGGCATTGGGGCCCGAAAGCGTGCTGAATGATCCCATGGCGCCGGTGGAACCCAGAACTATGTCCACATGCCTAGAAGTGGTCGCCTGTCCAACGCGCTGCAGGCGCGGCCGTCGCGGCAAGTGATGCCGGATTGCGCTGACGCCTTGCATTTTTGACTCTTCGAGCGATCAAGCTGGCGACGGTGTACTCGGGTTTGGAACGTCTCGCACTTACACACTCTCGGGACTTCTCCTCCGACTCTTGACGTGCTTGCCAACGAGGATAGGAAGCTACTTGACACATGGGGTGCAACAATGTTGTAACACTTCATCCACACACACCGGATGCCGCCATAATCAGGCTTGCAGACAACCAATAGAGTCGAGAACCTCTTCCCCACTCCCGACTGCCCCCCGAAACAAAGCAGCAGATTCTTGTAACCTGCTGCACTTCGAAGCTGAGCTACTCCCTGCCGAACTAATGAACTCTCAAGTTCTTCCAACACACCGCTAACTTCCAAAGATAGGTTGATGCTGCATTGTGCACGCTGATTTTTCCCGCCGATAACATAATCAGCCGTTTCAATTTTTGGGGGTCCCTGATTATAAGTATAGTACAATGGGCACCAAAACCCTATTCTAGTTGTTAAGGCCCCTTTATTACCCTATGCTCGCCTGCCCATTCCCAGTGGAGTTCGCAGTCGAGTTCGCGACCAGCTGCCGCAGGCCTAGACAGGGAGCCGTGTGCCTAATTAGGGTTTAGGGTTTAGGGGACCACGTCCGGCCAAGGATGTGAATGCTCCCATAAACTCCTCCTTGTGTCATCGTCTTCTTGGGATACATGGGCTGTGACCTGAGCCTTGCACCTCCATCAACCCTCTCTTCCTGGTCCGGAAGACTAAGGCCGCCCTGTGTGGAACAGACCACGACAAAGGCCTTGAGAGAGCCAAGCCCCTGGACTCCCAGCCCCTCTAAGGCATTCGACTCCTTCCTCGTTCCGGACTAGACAGCTCTAAAGCCGGCCTCTTCCTCCTTGGGCGATGTGGCGATCTTTGTCCACAAGCCTCATCGCCTCACGCCGTCAAACCGAGGCCGGGGCAAGGGAGGGTGGTATGGTGATTTAATGTAATTTAACATCCACCCACCCATGATAAAACCAGCGAGTCTATCGGTTTCTTGTGCGTGCACCCGTTATTGCAAATGCCTGTCGTTGCCACCTTGCTGCTTCCATCCAAACACTTCAGACTGTGAACCGCGGAGTAGCATAGGCTGGGCTTTGCTTGCGTCTCGCCCGGCTAGAACGAACCCAGCATCGGGGTTTCGACTCGCACGCATTCCAACAGGAGGTCTCAGCATCGGGGCTCTAGTGTTTTCACACACTCACACACCTGGTAAAAGAAGGTTCGATCATCAAGCCCAACACAACGTCTAGTGACATGAGGGTTTTGCTATGCGAATCATGTCTTGTTCAGACTGGCATCATCTATCCTCTCAGCACTGGCCTGCAGCAGCCTGTCTTCAGCATTCTTTTCTGCCCTGGCCTGCAAGCGTGTCGGGAGTTACTCTGTCTCAGTCAGTTGCACATGATTTAGTGTTGCATGTCGCTGGGCCTGGCTGTAATTCCACTTCTCCAGGAAAGAACTTGCGCCCCGCACAGGCCCGTTAATTACCACCTCGTGACAATTCTCACTTTAAGAAGATTCCATCAGGCTTTGACCACCCTCCAGAATACTCCAAACAAAAACCGCCGCGCCGGAAGTTTTCGCTATGGAATGACCACCCTTGCGAGGGAGCTTCGATCCATTGCACTGTCCCCATGGCGACTTTCACAGGCTCCGTCCGAAGGGCACTGTAACAGCAAGTCTGGCGCCTCCAGAGCGATGCGGTGAGCCGAGGCGCTTGGAAAGTGCCCAGTCGCCTCAACGGAAGGAAGAGAGCCCTGGGCTGATATTGAGAGCTGCGAACAAACGTGAGGGCTCCAAACTGGCGGGATTCCTGCATGCCGTTTTCGTACAAACGTGATTGGCCTAGGGCACGTTTGACTCCAGTTAACATTGAAGTACTCGCAAGCAAGCCGACTTGAGCGGCAGCTGCCAATCAAAGTAACAGTTAATTCTTTCTTGGCAATGCCGTGGCCCTGACGATGGCTAGCCGTGCACGTGCAATGCAACCATTGTGGCGGTATGGGGAACAGGCGGAGCAGTAACAATAGTAGTAGTGGTAGTAGTAGTAGTAGTAGTAGTAGTAGTAGCAGTAGTAGCAGCCGTAGCAGTAG